TGGTACACTGAAATAGAAAAATTACAAAACACCTTTAAAGGAAAAAAAGGTTAAAACCATGTTGGAGGAAAGGAGAAGGGAAGAAGACTTGCCTTGTCCTAGGAAAATCGATGGTTATGGAAGAATCTCCCAGCTGGGATTTTTTAGAAAAGGAAGCTATAAGAAAGAGACCAAAACAGTCACATAGCCTCAAAAGGACTAGCATATCTTTTGCAAAGAAGGAATGAAGAGTTTTATACATGGAAGAAATGGTAATTCACTATGAGAACTCTTAAAACTACAAGAATTATAGTGAGGGCCTACGTAGGGGTGTTTCTCATAGTTACTCTTTCTCCCTCAGTTTTAACGCAGTTCCTATTGCTTTTCCTTTGACTGAGGTGTTTCTGGGTCAGAGCCCCTCTTGTATCCTTAGTCCTTAAATGGTTCTTGCTGCTCACTCTCTTTACTCTTTTTGTTTATCCCTAACAAAGCTATCTGGGCAAACTTTCACAAGGCTGCTCAATACCTCAGTGGGTAGCGCGCCCCCCCCCCCCAACTCTCTTGTTCATGTCAAATCTTTTAGTCAGACACCATTTATAGTTCTTACTTATAAAATCTACAGGAACTTGAAATAATAACTGATTTTTCTTTTTTGCTATTGTAATAAAAATAGCAGGCCACAACAATAAAACTACCGTGTTCCATTAATTATGTTACACAAAAAAGTATTAAAGTTCTTATTTAAGCGTACAAATGAGGAGAATTTTGAGTTCAGATTGAAATGTCACTCTTAATGAGCCCTAGCTGAGCTTGTCTGTTGCAAACCTATATATTGAAGAACACACGTAATTGTGAACTTCTTCACACTGAATCTTCTTGCCGTGTGAAGCTAAATGGTGTTCAGTATTCTAACTGTAGTCTGTTCACTGACTTCAGCTGAACTAAATTCTATATGCACACTTCTGGGATTAAAGTCACTTAAGAGCCAAATTAGGGGAAAAATATCAAAAGAATACTTGTTTGAATATGGATGGCAATACTTGCTACTGCCGCTTTTCTTACATTTTGTTTTTAATTTTGCTATATCATTTAAAGGGTGGGAAATAACTGAGAAAGATAAAAAAGACACCAGCAAATATATTTTCCATAGAAAAATTGGAAAGAGATAATAAATACACAATTAAGTTTACTAAATTAAAATTGAAATAGTAGTTATTTAACAGCCAGATATATTAATATGCACTTTCAACTTTAGCTATTAATTCATGGCTGTTCTGTCCATGTACCCATGTTATATGCCTACTTTGAAAAAGACATTTGGAAATTCTTTTCATTGGGGTCTTAGCAAGCTCTCTGACTGGAGTATAATAGGCATATAGACTATAGTTTTGGTACAGTATGGGTGGGTCTATACGTGCTATTAGTGGACTGTATGGCTAATTTCTCCACAGTTTATTGCTCCTGAGAAGCTCCTGGGTGTGTGGTTTTTGTGTATGCTTGGACTGCAGCACATAGAGATGGGTCGCAGGAGCTCTGGCTGGCTAAGTGTGCTGCAGAGAGGCTGGTTCGGGTATGAGGATGCTGCAGTGTGGGGCTAGCTGACAGACAGCCCTGGCACTGGAGTACCCTTGTGTGCTGGCCAGCAGGTCAGTGTCTACATGTGCACTGCTGTGCGCGCACACACACACACACACACACACACACACAC